CTGGAAAACAAGAGACTGCATCTCTTTCTAACTCTTCTTGCTTTTTGTTGCTCATTTAGGCACATATTGTTGCTGCTTCTACTTTCTTTGAATAAGTCTCAACAATCAGCCACCTCTTCCTTTCATTTTTTCTTACACTGTCACACACAAAAGCAAAAAAAAAACACAAGCTATGAATAAACTCCTTTATATGAGCGAGTCATAGACAGACAGTGCCTCTGTTTTCACTGAGACACGCTACTTCGTGCAACAAAGGAAGCAGATTGTGCTGGGATATTTTGGGGTCTCCACTTCCTGTTTTAGGGGAGATAGAATTCCAATTCTTTCCCATCAACCCACGCTCCTTTTCCTCCCTCGTTTTTTCCATGCTCTGTATTCCTGTTTCTTTTAAGGATCCCATGCTGTCTTTTCTGAGACGAGAGGAGCAGAGAGTGAAGAACTCATTCTGAGCTCTGTGTGAAGGTGACAGCGGATGGGAACGTGCAAAGACAGACATCATCTGTCCATGTATCTGTCTATCCATCCATCCAATGGGGTATATTTTGGCATTGGACACAAATGTTCAATCTCATACCCTGCTAAGTCTGTCTCTATAGAGACAACACTATCAGCAGTTCACTGCCTTCTGCATGCATCCACAGTCAGTAGGCGATCATCTCCTCGTTTGATCGTGCAGCGTTTAGATGTACTTTGAACTTGTATGCAGCTGTGTCATGAGCCTATAGGTCTGCGGGTGGATTTTGAATGGGGAATAAAAGAGAGAAAATGAACAATATCACAGTGATGAAAGAGATGGGGTGGAGAAGAGTGTGGGAGTCTCTTGCACGCGCCCCCCTTCTTTTCCTCTCCTCACTTGCTCAATAACATTCTTCTTTCTGAGCTGCCTTAGGGAGAAAAGGGGGTCCCCTTTCATGCCAAACAGGGTGTGGTACAAGGCCTTCAGGAGCTCTGTGTTATTCCCGCCTCTTTCTTTTCCCCCTCTTCTTCTCTTTGTCTCTTTAATTAGACCAACTGACCACAGCTCTCACCTACAGTCCTGCGGGCATTTCAAAATCCCAGGGAATCAATAATACTGAGAGCTGCTGGGGCAACAGCTCAAAGCTCGAAACAGATCCTGGCAGAAGGGTGATAAATAAATTAAACCGAAACTTGTGCTGGGTGTTGTTTTTGTGCTTTAGTGGCCATGTCAACTTTCCAGGGACTTCAATGAATTAATGTTGAAACAATTAGATCAACCTGACTCCACCGATTGCCGGGGTCCAACTCTGACCTTCTCTGTGATTGGTGCAGACAAAATGCATAAAGGTAACACGAATCGATTAGTATTCCTGCCTCGTCCCTTGCCTGGCTGCTTCTGGCTTTAAAGCATAAACAGGTAAATTGCATTCCTGCTTTTGTTTGTCTGTCGTCCTGTTCTAAATGTGCGTTTCATAACGTGGTTGTGTGCAAACTTCTCCTTCTCTTGACAGTAATCCACCACTCCCACCTTAATGCCCTGTTGCCCCCAGCGGTGCTCTGGCAACAACACAAATCCTACGTGAGCAGTTCATCCTAAACATATAGGCAAACACAAAAACCCACACTCATGAACACACATGCCAGACAGACAGAGACCCTCTTCCATTTGTTTTGTTTTGTGCTTAATTCGGTAATAAAAAGAACTGGGCGGCTTAACAGGATACCAGGATAACAAAGCAGAAGATAATCCTAACTCAGACTGCTCAGAGGTAATCTAAAGAGAAAACATCCCCTCAAAAGAAGATGTCAACATTCTCTGCAATTTATCACCATATTATAGAGCAAAGACTAACTATAAGTACTTCTGGTTTACAATAAGGCTCCCCTTATAGATGACTATAAATAGTTTATAGATACAATAGTATTTCCTCTATAAACACTTTATAAATCATTCATAATTGCTTATTATGCATAATTGCTTATTATGCATTAATTGAGTGTGACAGAGAGACAAAACTGACCAGTTTCTTGCTAAACAGCGAGTCAAATCTGTTCACATACATTTCATATAGGGTTGTTATTTTAAACATTTCAGACTAAGTTACTACCTTGTAAGTACAATAAGCATTTGTAAACCTAATTCTTTAGCATATAATATTGTACTTTATCACTGCAGTATAAGTATCTATACAACTAATATTATATCCTAAAAAAAATTGGGTTTATGAGTGCTTAATGTACTTACAAGGTAGTAACTTAGTCTAAAATGTTTAATATAACAGCTCTAGATGAAATGTATGGGTTGCAGATTTGGCACAAAACTGGTCAGTTTTGTCTCACTGTCACCCTTAATGCATAATAAACAATTATTAATGATTTATAAAGTGCTTATAGAGGAATTCATAACATATCTATAAACTATTTATTAGCATCTATAAGGGGAGCCTTATTGTAAAGTGGTACCAATATTTGTTTATGAAAAGCCATAACTCTCAGAGAACAAGAGGTGTTAAGTTTTTATTCTCCACAGTAGCAACTAAAGTAACCAGGCATGCTTTCCTACAATCTGCCATTGTTCTTGAGTGTGAACAAAGCTGATCCATTCTTGTAGACATTACTCAGTTTAATGTGATAGCTCTATCACAGACCACTGATGCAGACATGAGACGATCCATCTGAATTAGAAAAGTGACAAGGCACAGATGAAAACATGGCTCTTCATTTTACAATCTGGACAATATAAAAAAAGCAGGCTGTGCGATTTGGTTTATTAACATTTTTCAAGCTAGTTAATAAACGCTAATAGTTTTTAGACTTGAGCAATATTTAGCCAGACGCAATGAGCTTTCACCAACCACAGCATGCTCACTGAAAACTGAAGAAGCGTATGACAACATAGGCTTCCACATGTGCCAAAATGCATTTATTTTATTTTAGTTGGCATAAATTGCTGCTACAATCATCCAATCTGCTATTTTAGCCACTTATACTCTGATGTTTTGTGGACTATATATATATATATATATATATATATA